AGATTATTATTTTTTTTATAACATTGTTTTTCTTAAATGCAAGGGGTATGAAAGTAATGATTTGACAAAGCAAGAGCTACAATAAGACTATCCCGGGTCCCGGTATACACTTGATCAGTGTTGATCAATGTTCATTTGTACGAGTACACGTATGCAAATAATTCGATAGCTTTTGAAGATTTCAACATACATTTTTGTAACACGCATATTTGTAATAACCACTTTATATACAAAACAAAATTTCATTCTCTTATATGGTAATATGGACGTCGTTATAGATCTGACTGAATGCTTGACATGCCTGTTTCAAAAACGTTTCCTAAGTTATCTTAAGATATGCCTAAGTTATAACTTTAGAAGTTCCTAAGATTTATCACAGCTGTATCGCGAAACAATCTTATCTAAAAAAAATTTATAAGTCATTTCTTAAGTTGTGCCTTTAAGGACTAATAAAATAACATTCCCGCTCTATATACAACTCTCAGTATGGTATATATTTTTAGATTCAAAAAGGAAGGGTGCGAGGATTGGGGATTGCCCCCACTTTTAAAGGATTTGGACACAAGTATGCTTAACTTTGCGAAGTGTGTTGCTAGATCCAAGCATTCACAGACACACCCTTTCAAGCCATCTTCCCTTCCGAGCACACGATATTTGTATTTTAATTTTTAAACATTGTTCTAGGTGTTATACATTTACTTTATTTTGTTCTTATAAGGTATCTACATGTAAATAAAATTTTAAACTGAATGCTTCATAGCGAACACATGCGAGTTTATATTTTTCAAACAATCTTTGCCAATTACTACACTGCATGTACACGTTAGTTGTTTGTGCGGTGTAGAGCAACTATCAGAGTACACAATGTATTTCAACATCGAGGTGCCCGCGGCTCTCTGTGGTACCGTGTATGTAAACGAGGACTGGACTACAACACTTAAGACACAAAGCGGCAAAGATGGATGAAACTGTTTGCTATCTTACAAAGACTTGAATTATAGTACATTTGAAGGAATTTTTATTTATGTTAATGTTTATTTAATTCTATAAATAATAAATGGACATTCACAAGAGTGATGGTAAAAATAATATGTGCGTAGCATGCGTAGTAATTACAATTATTTACCGAAGCCCCCATTCAATTACAATTGCAGATGAATTAAAATACAACAACACGGGATAGAGCAACTTTTTTTAAAATGTATTGTTGCGTGAACAGACAAAAACAGCGATTAAAATTCAAAATGATTTTTTGCACCAGTGTTTGGAATTAAGATTATAAAAGATCGGTAAAGTAATCTTACTGATTCGATATAATTAAAAACATACCTTTCCATTTATTTAATTAATAGCTCTTTGTACAAAATTGACATTATACGCGATCACAAATACTAGCTTTGTTTATGGCCACAGGTGGCTAGTACACTGTTCGATATAATTAAAAACATACCTTTCCATTAATTAATAGCTCTTTGTACAAAATTGACATTATACGCGATCACAAATACTAGCTTTGTTTATGGCCACAGGTGGCTAGTACACTGGTGACCTCGATCAACAGCGTGGGATTCGCGCGTTGGGTTACATAACTAAACATCGAGCTGAACATGGAGACCGTAATATGCATACAGCTAATGATCGTGAATTATTCAATGCATACAGTTTAAAATTACTTACAAAGTTTGTTGTAATAATAAACGTAGAAAGATAGATTTAATATTCTCCGCTTTTGAACACTATTAATCTAATTTAAAAAAGAAGAAAAGAAAGACTAGTTGTAATAAATAATTTAATAGTGAACCATAAACCACGTTTTAAACCTTATTAAAAAGAAAATTAACATTAAATACCGCAGGGTATATTATTGATAGCAAGTCTGTTTAAGTTATACACATGAGGAGGTCTGTAATAAAATGTAGGCAAGTATTGATCTAGCGAACATGTGAAGAAATTGGAACTTCGGAAGAATTGAAAAAAAAAAATAGTTAAATTTTATTTGTGTTTAATTTTACATACTAACAATGATCAGGAGACGTCAAGGTATTCGTGATTTCTTTCGAATTTGTTCTCTATGAAAAATAATTGGAGTTAAAATGAAAGAGAGAAAAATGGGGAAACAATAAAGATTGCAGATACTTTTCTAATGTTATGATTAAGTAGACAAAAGGAACAAAATTTAAACTCTTTTTAAGAATCAGACCACGAATACCAAATCCTTCATGTGGGGTAGGTACACTGTACCCATTGAAGAAGCAATTTCTCTATCATGTCTACACATGCTAAATAATGACAACAAGAGGCCCAAGGGCCTTATCGGTCACCTGAGTACAACAATTTAGAGGATCCATAAACTGATAAATGAAGCTTTAATTGTTGCCCAATAGCAAGAAAATTAGTACGATTAAGATCAACAAAATAATTGGTCTAGTATCTTTCTATCTGTTCCCCATTTATCACTATTACCATGCAGACTTTTAACAAAATGTCTATATTATTACCTCTCACATTGGCCTTACTTTGCCTTTGAAGAACATTTAAGAAGATAAGTTATTTTTGTTTCATTTTTATTCATCTATTATTTCCAAGTCTACCTAATTATTAAAACTATGAAAGTACTTTTTATACTATACAATAAATGTTCTTGCATAATTCTCTTATTCTATTAACCTTTCAAATACATTATCTACAGTGATTAATTATCAAAAGTGAATGGCAAAGGGGAATAACTTCACTCAATAGAATACAAATTAATAGAGCCCTGGCCAGGACCAGAACACTTGACTAAATGGTCCAGATGTTGAAAATTTACAAATTTGGAAGAGGTACCCTCATCATCATAACTATGCAATTAGTTGAAGATTTTCAAAGAATTCACACATTTTCACTATCTTATCAAATAGAGCCCCCCCCCCCTTTCAGAGAAACAACAGAACCCCTGGGACCACAAGTTTTAAAAATTTTGTAAAAGCATCCTTGCTCGTCATAACTATACACTTGTTTCTTTGCTTTATAACCAGGAGTAGAAAAAAATATTTTGAAAGAAATTATGAATTTTCACTATATAATCAACAGAATCCCCCCCCCCCTTCACCAGAACCCCTGACCCAGGGGCCATTAAATTCACAATTTTGGAAGAGGCACTCTTGCTCATCATAACAATGTACTTAGTTAGTTTATTTCATACCCATGAGCAGAGAAGAAGATTTTCAAAGATATAATGCATTTTCACTATATAATCAATAAAGCCCCGCCCTAACACCAGAACCCCTGACCCAGGGGTCATGAAATTCACAATTTTGGAAGAGGCAGTCTTGCTCTATATAACAATGTACTTAGTTAGTTTATCTAATACCCAGGAGCAGAGAAGAAGATTTTCAAAGAAATAATGCACTTTCACTATATGATCTATATAGCCCCACCCTAGCACCAGAACCCCTGACCCTGGGGCCATGAATTTCACAATTTTGGTAGAGGGCTTAATGCTTATTACAATCATGCCAACAATTTGACTGCTTGATGTCCAGGAGTAAAGAAGAAGATTTTTTAAAGATTGCATTAATTTTGGTGGTTTTAGCCCCACCCCTCAGGCCCCAGGGGGGCAGGGACCATGAAATTCACAATTTTTGTCCCCCTTCACCCATAGATGCTATATGCCAAAATTGGTTGAAATTGGTTGAGCGGTTGCAGAGAAGAAGCTGAAAATGTTTAAATGTTAACGCACGACGACGGACAAAAAAGGATAGCAATAGGTCACCTGAGTGACTCAGGTGACCTAAAAATAGGATATTTTTGATGTTTTAACAAGTGTATGTTTCATCTGTTCATGTAAAATTTATGCAAAACTTTGTTTTCCCCTTAACTGGGCATCACGAAAATAATGTGTAGATCTAACTGCACCTATATCAGCTGTATATTAGATTTTACTTTTGGCGTAAATCTAAATAAGAAAAAAGATATGATAAGATATGACAAGACCATAAACTGAGAACAGACAAGTCAAAATTTAGATCTAGAATATGCTGACTTTCATTTATTAAATAAGTTAAAATTGTCTTATTATATTCAATTTTAAATGTATGATAAAAATTTGTTTTATATTTATTATTAAAGTTATTCTTGTTTGAAAGGTTCAGTTCATCATTTGTTTGTATGTGAATATTTTACAAACATGCAACATTTTCATCATGTTTGCTAAATAAAAATCAAGATATTCAAAATGTTTAAATTTCTTATTTTGCTTCAGTTTGTTCTCAATTTATGGTCAGTTCAGTGCCGTACAAGTGTATCTTAATTAAAAAAAATATTAATGTGTGAGAATTTAATCAATTTATGTTTACAGAAAACATTTTTTCTAAATCTTCATAGTCAGACAGGTTGACAGCAATAATTATTGTAGTCAGCTCACACATATTCCTTAGATCTTATAAAACATGCATAAGAATCCACAGTTGTTACAGTATTTGTAACCAAAATTTAAGTAATTTAAATCTTGTTTTTGATCTTGACATTTAATCTTGAATGTTATTCAATGTCTAAATGAGGAATAAAAATAATTGACCAAGTTCACAATATTTATTCAGGGTAATCCCTTTTTTCAGTGAATATAAATATAATTATATATATTGAACCAAATGCACATTATCTACAATTTATATCTACAATGTATAACAATTGAATGTTCCATTATCATGAGACAAATTCATTAAAAGTGTCCATGAAAATTATACATGTATTTCAATGCCAAGCTCAAAGATACATGTACATGTAGTTTATTTAAATTGAAGTTTATCAATGTCTTATTACAGTTGTATGTTTTACATGCATATTATTTGGCCTGCTTGTCCGTCGCTCAAATTGAATTTCAAATGTCAAAGTAGTTGTCAGAGAGATGGTCATAAAGTAACCGAACAGTTTCACAAATGTCATCAATGCACAGAAAACAAATACATCACACACTGATCTCCTTAATAAAGAACACCATTATTCAAGACTTTAGGGGGCTCTTGGACACTGGTTTGAAAATCTTTCATTATTTATTCCAGCAGCAGATGAGATGAAGAAAATTTGTACAGCTGCAAATTTGCAGGATTGTCCTGAAGAAAAAACACACACCATTATATGCATGTAGATTGTAAATTGTGTCATATGCATTAAAACTGTATTTGATTGTGATTATCTTTCTCATTTCATGTACAATTGTCTGAATTTAACCTTTTTCTCTCCCAGAGTAATGCATTTAATTAATTTTAAACAAATCAAGCAAAATCAAATCTTATATTGCAACTTCATAGTCAGAACTCATATCTTAATTAAACAATCATAATTTACATAATTTACTTGTAGACTATAATTCATTTCATCTCGTCGTCTTGCTAACTAGTATGAGTACATGTTTGGATGTTTTTTTCTCTCTATTTTCTGCTTGTATTAATCTATTTAATATGTTGTTTGTTAATTTCTTTTCATTTGTTGCTTGAAATTTGAATATTAAAAAAATGAAAATACATATAACATGACAATGATGACCAGAACAATTATACATTAATTTCAGTTTTACTCTCAACATTTTAAAAAGAAGAAAATCACTTCTTCATAAAATCTGCAGACACTTAATCTCAACTTAGATAATGATTTTTATGTATTTTAATGAAACATGCATAAACACAAAATAAATAATCTAATCATACCTACTTCTAAATGTAAAATCCTTTATATTGTGATGACTAATGAGGGCAAGCAAAATTGGGTACCATTCTCTGAAATGAAGAAGATAATAAATGATTAATTTATGTTACATGTTTTATGTTTAACTCACAATAGGTCATACATACAACGTACATGCAAGTGCTGAGTGGGCTTATTATACACAGTAGCATAAGAAATGATCATGATGATTCTGCATTTAATTATTTTAAATTGCAATCAGATAAGGAAAAAAATGTTTTTTAACCACAGTAGGGAAATGAGTATATAGCAATAACAAACTGAAAAAGGTATAATACATCCGATCATGTGACAAAGTATTTGTAAATATTTAACCCCCCTACCCCTCCCCTTTCTACACAACCTCTTTTTTCCACATCCGATTTCTGTGTATATTACAATAGAACAAAATTTTAATAGTTCAAGTCATTAAAACATTGCTTAAAGGGAGAGATACGTATAAACATGCACACATTTACAGTGTGTAGTATACTTACATGGTCTTGCACCAAACAACTGCGATTATGATCTGTTATAGTCCGCCGCTGACGGTTCAAATGGAATTATCCAGAAAAAACAGAACACATTAACAGAGAAACATGTTATTGAACTGTAACACAAGTAGGAATCGAGTTAATCATCCAAACATGCTGAAGAAATACGATCCTTTGATGTCCGATCTCTTCTTTGTTTACATGCGAAACTTCTTCCGGTGATCGTTCACGGTTAGATCGTACGCCATATTACTCGAAGGTAATAGTAGAAATGTGTGTTAAGAAAAAAAAAACACGTCTATTTTCTTTTGTGATTTTATAAATGATTCTTTTGTACACGTTCTATATTCTTTTGCATTTCTGTAATTTATTCTGACATATGAATTAACCTTTACTGGAATCTGATTGGCTGTAGGATACAGGATAGTATAGGATATGATTGGATTAACTTCTATATGTTTCTATCGTGAATCCTCAATCCTGAATCCTATCTATCCAATCCCATCCCATGTCAACTTGTGGGATAGCAGCAATGTACCAATATCTGTGAAAATAAGTAATTTTCTACTACTTCCTGTTTGGCCGGAAGTGACGTCATTCGACGCATTTTGATGATCTCGCAAGCTGCTACTTGTCATGTTGAACAATTTTGCTTCTTTGAAGTATTACAAATTCTCAATACTTTTTGAGATATCAGGAAAAATATTTTGGCCCCTTTAGATTCCTTATTTTAGGGGCCAGCCCTTTTTTCGAGATATCATTTAAAGGATCTTGTAATTCTGCACAAATTTTGTTATATATGTTTTAACAAAATATTTCCAAGTAAAAAGATATCGTACAGAAAGTGTTCGAAAATTTGAAACTCTCGATACGACTTTTTTCAGGCCATAGCGAGCGTCGACGCGTGGCACTTCCGGTGAAAGTTAACTATGTATTACAGATCTACATATGTTGCTCTGTCTTCGCTAAAAGTTTCACGTTCCTGTGATGAGTGGCTTCTTAGAAAACCTGCGGACAAACTGACCCTCCAAAAATCACTAAATCGCAAAAATCTTCGGACCGGAAGTGACGTCATCAAAATAAAAAATATGTATCAAGATTTTTTTTATGTTCTATCAGACCTGAAAGTTTCATGAAAATCGAGCGAATCGTTTTCGAGAAATCGCGTGCACAAAATCGGTAAGAAAAAAAATAATAAGAAAAACAGTGGAAAAGAAACCGAAGAATAACAAGAAGGTCTTCCGCTGAAGACGGAAGACCTTAAAAACAGTGGAAAAGAAACCGAAGAATAACAAGAAGGTCTTCCGCTGAAGACGGAAGACCTTAATAATCTTAATCATCACAATCAGTAGAAGGTCTTCCGTTGGAAACGGAAGACCTTAATAATAGTATAACATGATATCAAATCCCTTTAAGATGTGTCTGGTTTAAGTTGGTTCAATTACATAAATCTGAACTTTTTTAGTTCTCCATATATCCCATGCAAATTCTGTAAATTTCATTGATTTTGTTTTAGATAATTCAGACTATTTTTCCAGGTTTTGGTATAATTTGTATTTATATAGGCTATATGTTGTATACTTAGTGCACTATACCTATTTACCGTGCTAAGTTATCAACAAATTTTTAAACAGGAAACAATATTAATTATCAAATATTTGTATTTATTTTCATTTATGTATCATATTTTAACTATCCTAGCTGTTAAAGTTTTGTTCCTGTTTATGAATCTACAGATTCAAATACCTGTACATGTACAGACAGAAGCTGAGGCCATTAAAATGGAAGAGTGTTCAGAAACAAGGGAACAACCAAGTGACAAGGTAACTACAGGGATTTATCTAGCTATTTTATTTGACAAACTTAAGGCTTTTCATGAAAGGAGGAAAATGAGTATAGTTGCAATGCATTTAGTGATGGAGGTGTGAATATTTTTTTTTTTTTTTTTTTTTTTTTTTTTTTTTTTTTATTGAATAAACTTTATTTCCCAGACCTAATCTATAACAAAGAATATATCCTTATATTTAAAAAGAAGGCAGCTATCGGGGATGGGGCCCCGACTAAGCTCCAAGTGATACAATAGCTATTGCATCTCGCAGGATGCATATACCTGTATAATTAAGATACAATGTATATTATAATTTATATTATGTAAATTTATACTTTAGATATTATATAATTCAATATACTGATTTTTGTACAGCTTGCAAATTAAATTGATAAGATGTATCATAATTATGCCACGCTGCCATAATGAGTCCATGTCGTCCCACTACAGTCCATATTTGACTCATATGGCAGCTCTATCAGAGGACTGGACCCTCTTAATAGTGGCTATTAATACAACAACTCTTATAGTTTATACATATTCATGTTTTAACATTGAAGTACAATAGAGAAAAAAGATATATTGAAAACGAAGAGTAATACATAGCATACATAATAATGAGATTAAGTTAATATAGTTTTTTTTATGTTATATACATATATATATTTATATATATGTATATTCATATGTATAAAAGTTGGATGATTTATATCACAGACTTTCTTCGACCTTTTTAAATATATTTATTTTCCAGTTCTTGTATTTTGATCTTTTAAGAGCATAATAAAACGTGTTTAAGGATTTTTTAACATGACAAAGAATTGCTTTTGGCGTTTCAGCTATTTCTTCCAGTCTACATAGCATTTTGTATTTATAGATTCTAAGGGCTACAAATGATATAAGATTGGTAAATAAAATTGTTTTTTCGTTGACTTCATTATAGAATCCTACTACTATAAGTTTCCATGATACATTAAATTTTAAAATTTCACTAACAACATTCCATATTCTTTGAACATTTTGGCATTCGTATAATAAGTGTTTGTTTGTTTCAACACATTCTTTACAGTATGGACACAGATTAGATATGTCATTCCATTTGCTTAAATAACTTCTATTATTAAGCAGATTATTAAGTATTCTATAGTTAAAATCTGCGATTTTTTTGTCAAAGGCTTTGACAATTTTGGAAAAATATATTTTGGAAAAACATTGATTCTGGATAATAAATTCTTTTCTAAACTTGTTAATATAGCATGGCTTTACAAATTTTTTATTTTTAAAGATATCATAATAGAACTTGCATTTTTTGTCTTTGATACAGTGACATTGATTATCATTTAAAACAAAATGAAAAGTATTTCTGATATTTGTATATTTTGATAAGCTGAAATCAAACTGATTCTTATATTTCTGAAACACATTTTTCAATATCAAGTACTCACAAAATATGTTATTTTTTTTAACAAGCATGTTTAAAAAGTATTCGAGTGGCTTGATACCATTTTCATCCACAATATCTTTTACATATAAGATTCCAGCATCATACCAGTTTTCAAAAAATAATACCTTATTTTTGTAGTTAAAAATTTTGTTTCCCCATATAGATTGTCTCAGAAAGTCAAATGTAGTCATTTTACTTATTTCCATTGGGCTCTTAGTTTCACTAAATGCTTCAAAAATTTCTCTATAAAATATCGGAAGATGCTTAAGTATATTGTGATCATGTATTGCTAAGTTATTAGTGTGCAACATGTAGATAATATCTTGCTTTCTTAAATTGAAATTTTCTAAAAAGATTTTAATGTTGCTTTTTTCATCTGATATTATTTTGGAAATCCATGAACATTTAATTGCTTTCGCTTTAGACTCTATATCCACAACTCCTATACCACCCTGCTGTATATCTCCTATTAAGGTTCTTCGTTTTATTCTGTCTCTCTTATTCCAAATAAAATTGAAGATAATTTTATTGATATTTTTTATGATATTAGCACTAGGATATGGTAATAGTGAGAGGTTGTATATTAATTTGGATACAGCAAGATTGTTAATAATGCAGGTTTTCCCGAATATAGTTAATTTTCTTTTTTTCCATGATTCGAAAAGTCTCTCAAGCTCTTTAATTTTGTTTCCCCAATTTTTTTCAATACATTTCTCTATGTCATGACCAATATGAATTCCTAACACTTTAATACTTTCTTTGTTGACCTTTACTCCATATAAATTATGTGCTGTATTCTTCAGATTGCCTAGTAACATGCATTCCGTTTTGCTAATATTGAGAGTCAATCCAGATATATTTCCAAAGTTCTTTATACATGTTACTGCTTGTTTTAAAGATTTTTTATCACGGAGTGCTAATGTAGCATCATCAGCGTGTTGTATCATTTTTATGTCTGTTGACATCTTAGGAGTTTTAAATCCAATAATGTTTTCATCAGACATTATTTTTATTGATAAGATTTCTGCAACGAAAAGGAATATCATCGAAGAAATAGGGCATCCTTGTCGTATGCCCCTTTCCATATTGCACGTTTTAGAAATCCATCCATTATTTTTTAGTTTGAAAATTGGTTCTTTGTACAAAATCGATATCCATTGCAGAAAATTATCCCCAAAGTTAAAACGTTTTAAGGTTTCAAAAATAAACTTCCATTCGACTGAATCAAAAGCTTTCTGGAAATCTAAGAAAAGTAAAATTCCATCGTAGTTTTTATTTTCACAATATTCAAATATATCTAAAATTGTTCTTGCATTTGTTCCTATGTATCTTCCCTTTATATATGCAGATTGATGTTCACTAATTAATAGGTCTATTACTTTCTGAAGTCTGTTAGCTAATATAATAGCTAATATCTTATAATCAGTATTTGTGAGACTAATAGGGCGATAGTTTGCTAAATCTGATTTATCTCCCTTTTTATGAATAAGTGTGATTAAAGCTAAACGTTGAGAGAATGTCATACATTTATTATTAAAGGTGTATATTAAATAGGTGGAGGTGTGAATATACTATGGAAGTCCAGGAGCATGCCCCTCTGGAAATTTTCAGATAAATGCTGCAAAAATCTGCATCTTGAGAGCTTAGCTTGGGGTTATTTTTAGAACTATTAACAGTATAAATCAGTATATTTTAAATGTTACTTGTGTGTTAATTAACGAATTATTCATAACTTTCATTCATTCATTTCATATACATTTATACATTTTTTAAGGGGAAAGGTAACTTTTA